AGGACAAATGTTTTTCTTTAGTAAAATATCTGAGATGAGAAATGCACCTCTTATCTACTGGTTAATGCCTGTGCTTCTCTTTGGGGAACTAATTTAAACACTTCACGAGAGATTGACATTTTCAGTACCTTAAACATCCTTAAAAGCTGCTTTGTTCACTGCAAACCATATTTAGTATGACCTCATAATAATGTAGCACACCTCAAGTGTCATGCCTGTCTTTACTATGCACTTTGGAGCTGTGTTCATCTATACTAGACAACTGCACTTCAAGGAAAGATTTTTTTTTTTCCTTGATAGGCAATTAGCAGTAATTAGGAAGATTCACTTCAGTAAGGTGTCAACACGAGATTGTTTAAAAAAGTTGAATGTCAGTGGCTTTAAAAGAGGGTTCTTTTCCCTGACACATAGGTATGGCATGTGAAACATGAAATGTTAATTTAACTTTTCTGCTTATTATTCATGCACAATATTATTTTGTCATTCAGATACTACACTGACAGAGTGCAAAGGGTGTTAAAATAGTGCTGCTGGAATAAAAAGAGGATTAATCTACCATTGGCCAATTAGCCAAAGGGTACTTAATGGTCTCTAAAGGCTACTGAAGTCTAACAACTAGCTAAAGCACTGGCAAAAAGTCCTCTATATTACCTTCATTTATTTGACATTTTGTGGAATAGTCAGCTCCTGATAACTGCATTTGGCTGAAAAAAAAAATACAACTAAATGATTCAGTAGATTTTACTAAAATTTCGGGATAAATGACAAATAAATTCTATATTTTAGAAGTTTGTCTTGCTTTTGGGGGGGTCTTTGTTTCAATTTAGGGATGGGATATTAAGTCACCAAAGACTTCTGTTTGATACTTTGTCTTCATGTCTAGAATACTAAGTTATCAACCACTTACAGCACTTGCATGAAAAGAACTTTGATCGAGGATTTGAAGTTATTTGCCTTTTCTCTATATGATCACATTAAGTATTCAGCACAGCTTTTTGGTCTGGTTTATATATTTTCAGATAACTACATACCATCTTTATTAATTTTACCTTTTTCTTTTTTTCTATGGCCCATCAGGCAGAGGAAGGTTTGAGAGAATGCAGAAGGGTCAAGTTTAGTGGGATTGACACAATAAATTCGTCTCTGACATTGTAAATAGGTTTATCATTATGTTATAATAATATTTGAGAGAGTGAGTAAAATCAAACCTAGCTTTCTGCCTGCAAGCATGCTTTGAAAAGTTCTTTCATGTTTTATGTGTGCAGCAAGTACTGCTTATTTTGTATGCTTTACATGAGACTGTGAGAAAATAGTGCTCCATGTAAAGCATTTATTGAAGCAGTGTTAAATTCTAAAACTGAACTTTGTATAGGAGCTATGCATATAGCAAATATATTCTATTACCAACTGTAGCAAGGTTTCTTAGAGAAAAGAAAAATGAGAGTGTTAACTTCAGTTTTCTTGCAGATGTAGCAGTGTTTTTGTCTGCCAGGATCTTAGGGTGGGAAGCTCCACAGAAAATGAGATTTTTGCACCACAGAGTATATTAGCTTTAGTTTTCAAAATGAGTAGTAAAATAAGATTGTGTCACTGCTTAAAAAGTGTGTCAAGAATGCCTGATTTACATCGGGTTTATATTTTTTTATATAATATATTTTGTAAATATGAATGTGTGGGACTGACTGACTTCAGTAGCAGTACAGTATCAGCTTCTTCCAAGATAAATGTTATATTCATACATGCCAGCTGCAGTAGAATAGTGACTTCTGTGAAATGAGCTCAAAGTCCCTTACGGAGTGATTGTGATGCCAAGGAGCAATAGGCCATCCCAGGAACTTCCTGTGTTAACCCATTGGGCCTTCCACACAGCTGTCTTTCTGAGCAGAGGGTTTATGGTGAAAAGCCTTGCTGAGTCACTGCAAGTTTTGTATTGACTACATAGAAACTGAGGTTTCATCACTTACTCCTTTGTGAACAGCAGAACAGAGTGTCATGGGTATACCAGGAACAAGGAGATTAAGATAGATGGATGTTAAAATATTGAACCTATAAACATCTGTTAAGCCAAAAACACTCTGGAGGAGGTGCAGCAGACAAAGGCCGCTACATCACAGAGGAACAGCAGTAGGCTGCCTTTACCAACATCTGGTCTAGCTGATGTTTAAGATTCTTCTACCTTTCATCCTGGTGACCTCTTCCCCTGGAGTAAATTCTTTTTACTCAGTAATTCAGGATTTGTGTGCATGGTAGAACACACAAATAAACTTTTTGTTGTGTCTAAAAAAAGAAAAAATAATTAAAAACTTGACCTAAAATATAGGGAGTGGTGAAGAACACCAGGGTGATGAACTTCTTTCTTAAGTGAATACAAGGAATATCTTTTAGGTATAAATATCTTGATAGGGCAGTGGGGCTGTTTTTTACATCTCACATGGATTTATATAGGATTTTCTCATAACTGTTCAATAGATTAAAAATAGAGGAGTAATGCAGTAGAATTATCAGTCCTGTAGTACATTTACAAAATCTACGGAAGTATTAAGAGACAACTTCAGTGAAATATCTGATTGCAGTTGAGTGCCTGTCTGCTTTTGTGAGTTTGGGCTCTTGTACATCATATACTATTTTCACTTCATCCCTATAGCTCTTAGGCTGTTTACGAATTTAGGTAGATTCTTATTCTAAAACCTTTCTTCCTACCTCCTTAAGTAGTTCCTGTAACCGTCATCTTTAGTACCAAGAAGAACTTTTCTTTTTGAAAATATTTGCTATAATTTTTGAGAATGTAGCCAGTGCAATTCATGATGTTTTAGAATTGATGCATATTGTCAGCAGCAGTAGCCTGAGAAACTTCTGAGAGTCATGAGCTATCTTGGGCAGATATGGGGGCATTTCTAATTTTGAACAGAGATATTGATCTAGCTATGATTTTTTTTTTTTTCTTTTTATGAATAATTTATTATAGAGACACTGAATCATGAAATTCTGCATGTAGAAATATTGGTTATACTGGACAAATTAACATAATCCTCATATTTTTCTATACTATGTCCTTCTGTACTACTACTGGTTTTTCTCATTGAAAAGGTCCTCATTTTGTCTTTTGCTCATCAAATGTAGTAATTATGAGGAGAATATATCAGATTAAGGAATAGTCAATTAGAAAATACTCTATCTCCCTCTTGTTTAATAATGATAGCAGACACAGAAGAGAATGGAAAGATTAACTCCTTTACTAAGAACAGTGCTTTCCTCAGATACATATGTAAAATGCCCACTGACTTTAATAAGTGCACTTGGTGAATATGAAATAAATACTGTTAGAGTTTTAACTTTAAATACCGGATGAATTTTCCTTGTACCCATGATATTTTTTTAGGCTAATGCAAAATATACAAGCATTCTTTTCTCATTCGTAATGGGAATAAATGTGACTCTCTTTTTATCTGTATATATCTTCAGATCTTCAGATTATTGTCATGGGAGTGTATGTTTTTTTTTAACACATATATATGATTTTTTTTTCCTAATGGCATGAAGCTGTATAAAATCTAATTTGCAAGTTAAATAATTAACTGCTTGAAAATAGAATACTTAACTTTCACCTTTTTTGTGGGTTTTTTTGTTTGCTTTTTGAGATTTTTTTTTTATTTTGGCGGGGGAGAGTTGTGTGTTTTTTTGATTTTTGGTTGGGTATTTTGTTTAGAACTAGCACATAATCAGGTGCACATTTAGTTATTTCAAGATGTCATGGAGTTCTCTTGTTTCTGATCAGGATTCTTCACAAAAAACTGGGGGGTTTTTTTGAAATATTTCAGTACGATTTTGAACATTTTTTCTTATGTTAAGGTACTGTATTACAGTCTTACTTGGAGTAATAAGATAGCATTTTAATAACCCTTTTAAGGATCAGAGAGCTGTTAGGCCATTGTTGGCTTTTGGCTGACTACAGTTTTGTGAAAGTTAATCACTAGCATGGAGATTATTTCCGTTCCCCTTTTTGCATAACAACATTCAATAATTTAAATTAAAGCAATTATTTAAAACATTACTTCTGTAAGGAATAATGTGAAATATATTGGTACAAAGATTGAATAAGTCTTATTGGTTGTCAGTCAAGTGCAATAAGACTGAGAGTTTGTTTGCACGATATTTATTTGAACTAAATCCCTAACAAGGCTTTTCTGCTAATTGGACTTAGCATTTATGTTGCTAAGTGAGAAGCATTTTGGCTGCAGTATAGGGTGGTAAGACCTACCCAGTGGAATAAACAACTAACATCTGTTATCCTGTCCTGCTCCAGCTTGTCTTTTACCACTTAAGTACTTCAGCCCTAGAGTCAAGGTTATGGAATGTGCGGTTCTCTGGCTATGGTGCATATATTGAAAGGGATGAAATAACACATAGGTAAAGACCAGCCAACCAGGAGATGTTTAGTGCAGCTGGTCCACATGGCTTTAACCTCTACAAGCCCTACAAATATCAAAACAAAAGCCAAGAGAAGGGTGTATGTTTTATAGCAGTTGTCAACACAGCATTTCAAGTGAGCTTACAGTGGTCACCATTATAACAGATTTGACATTTAACTACCCTTAATTCACACTGTTGTCTGAGACACCATGGTATTTCTTCATGTTCTGTGTAGAAATAATTGCTGAATTCCAGGGAGGCTCTAGATAAACATGTTTCAACAGTAACTGCTGTTACAGTTTTGTATGATAATTTTTGTTTCTCATGGTTAGAACAGCAACATATTCAGTCAAAACTGAATTATTTTGCCTTAAAATAATTGCTTGTTTTCAGTGGTAGTAGATTTTTTTTTCTGCCTGATTTGATCTTTTTCTGTACTAGAGAATTCAACCAACAGCTATGCAATGTAATTACACGTAATATATATAGCTTCATTCCTCTTGAATGCTGAACTGGAGAAACATCTCATATGATCAAGCAAAAATATATTTAGGATGAATTTTTGATTGTTTATTCTCTTTGTAAAACAGGTGTTGACCTCAACCTGGCCAAGTGGCAACAGGAGGAGGAAGATTTACAAGGAAAATTAAAGTTGAGGGAACATCTGTCTCAAACTGCTGGCAAGAGTGAAGCTACACCAGCTCCTTCAAAGAACACTGATTTAGAGATGAAACAGCTGCAGTGCAAACTAAAGGTGACAGAATGGATTATCTAGTGCTGAGGATAATTGGTATGAGCAGTAGTTCATAACTGGGTCAAGCAGACATACATAAACTCCCATGCACCTATCATTTCGTAGACAATGATTAGTAGCTTAAGTGTTGAATTGCCTTTGATGGTAAATAGAAATGTAGTCATAGACAGAACTAAAAGTTCTAAAATGATTTCTGCAGAGCAAATAGGCCAGACAAGAAGTCTTGCTGGGTTTTTGCACAATGATAAAGTACATCTTGTTGGAATGTGCTGTGGAATTAGTTTGATGAGAATTCAGTTGATTCCTTTCTTCCTTTAAGAAGGAGAAAAGCAGTAGCTGTCTGTGAAAGAGAAGCAAAGAATTTGAGCTACTGGATTGTCTTTGTCTTCAGAGAGACTTTTTTTTTTTTCATTTGTGTGTTTGTGCATTAGTTGGTAGGAAAATACTGACTGGTAGATGATTTCACTTTTCAGTCTCGGGTGATTTTGTTGCATGTGAATGTGCAGAGGCTGGACTGTGTTGTTCTGAAAGCTTTCTCAGCAGGTGGCCTGGCTCAAACATATTAATTCTTCTTCTCTTCTCACTGGAGGAAATATATTTGCAACAGTATGTCTTCAAGTTGTTTTTTCCCATTGTTTTCTGTTAAATAGTAGAGGAAAGAGAAAAGGTCAAAATGGTACAGCTTTGTGCTGCTAGAAGAAACCTTTCAGAAGCAAGAAGTCTGCCAAAGGATCAGCTAGAAGAAAAGGCTGTGTTACATGGTCAGCATAGCTCACTCTAAATGCTGGATTAGCTGTGCTAGCACATGAGATGTGGGTAATGCTCAGACCTTTTAGCTGTTGATGGTAATCATGGTATTACAGATCATGGCTATTGCACACTGGATGCATAACATCTGAATTTAGGGATTAGTAAAGGTAGGTCACATTGATAAAGAGATGAGGCCAGCAGGGAGCAGCCATGAAAAGGCACATAAATTGATCTTCTTTAATTATGAGAAAGAGTTCTTAAAACCATACACACTGTCTTCTTAAGTATTGTTTTTAGGTTTGGGATTGACTAATCTGCTTCTGTTGCTGGTGAGTGGTAATTTCTGTTAATTAGGGGTGTACCATTTAGATGAGTATCTTCATTATCCAGAAATCTAGCAGTCAACAGATCTATGCAAGTAGGAAAAATAAAAAAAGGGGATTCATTTTTTTAAATAGCTGAAGAGTAACACCCGTGCTAGGAGCCTACTCTATTTGTCTGCCAAATGCGAACAGCAAAACAAATTGATGAAAAATCAAAGGAGTTTTTTTTGTTTCTGCAGCAGAGGAAATATTTAGCAAGCATATATAAATCTGATATCAAAAATACTAGCATGACTTTTAATTCCTTCTTAAAGATATATTAAATTTTTAATGAAAAAAATAAATCATGTATGCAAAACTATATTTAGGATGGAGATAGTCTGTGACCTCAAATGCTAAGCAGTAGAGTAAATTCACTGGTTTCTGAATTGGATGGCAGTTTTGAATATAAGGACCTCAAAAACTAAAATCAAGTTTCTAAAATTCTTAACTTTATTTAAGGCTAGTTTAAGTCCTGCAAGTCATTTTTTAGCAGAAGAATTTGGCAAAGGGTTTTCAATTATTGTTCCAGGCTCTCTAGCTGACTTAAAAATGAGACACATAGTTATTCTCCTGAATATCTGAATCTCTAAGCAGCAAAACCTTTCCTTATAGCTCAAAATGTCAAAGTACCTGGCCTTGTTAGTTAATTTTTTTTTCTTAGCACTGTCTTTGCAGTGCTTGTTTACGTTGTGTGTAATGACTCCTTGTGTCTTTGCCAATAGGAAGAAATGTGTTAAGTGTGGGTGGTGAGTTTGGAAGCAGACTACCATAAGCATATGTCTTTGCCTCTGAACATGTGCAGAGGCCCACCTAAGTACTCAAGTTCATGTCTGGTGTGTAAACCACGAAACCGGGTGCTGTGCTTTAAGCTAATGGAACTCAAGCTCCACAAACAGGTCTCAGGAAACTCAGGAATATTCTGCTAGCATACATCATTTTAACAATTTTCTGGTTATACCCCACATTATAATAATAGTAAATAGACTAGACAAGTTATTAAGAACAATATTTTATATCTAACTATGCACACAAGGATATATACTCCCCTTGAGGTGCACAGAGTTATGTACAATACTCCCATTTATGTTAATAGGCATTACAAGTCTGCACTGAGCAGAGAAATTCTCCTGAAGTATCATTGTTTACAGCATGTCTGATCTGTTTGCTTATTGTTTTTACATAGTCAGTAAAAAGCTGTAGTGCAGTGGCTAAATCTGTATACCTATAGGCACATGTATATTTTGTGCTTATGCTTAACGTGTATCTTTTGGCAACACCTTTTGGAGTTCTGCAATAGCTCTCTGTGGAGTATTTGAGCTGCCATTTCAGCAATGGCATTCAATGCATATGCTCAGATTGCTAAGATGGCTACTTAGTTAAATTATTTTTTTTTCTTTTTTTCTGTAGACTGATTCAGATGTTCTGAATTTAGATCTTGGGTAGATGATATGTGTAATTGCCTGTATGAATAGAGGCACTTTTTTCCTTATTATATACAAATGTGGAATGCTCAACAACTGTATAATTGTCCTTCACTGGAATGACATGTGCCTGAAAATTAGGATCATACCTGGTTGTTACTGAAATGTAGAATTTGTGTTAATACAGACAAATGAAAATGTCTTTGTCTTGTGCTTTGAATTTCAGGAGACATAAAAAACAGCAACTCTTGTAAATTGTCTTGTATTTCCCAATACTCAAGATGATAGGAATTATTGGACATTCTTGCTGTATAGATGTAGACTCCTTGTGCTGTAGAACTACACTATTCAAAGATGTAGCTCAAATGCAGACCCAGTTTTACTTCTCTTCTGTTATGTGCTATTCTAACCATGCTATGCAAAAGAAAATACAGGCCTGATTGGTTCTTGCATGTCCCAGGGAACATCTATTAACCATACATTATTAGAACAGTGGAGAAAAAATTATTTCATATTATTTTCCAGGGAGTGTACTTCTTCTTAAGTGTTCCTAGAAAGTAAGAATGCTCATTTTATACCAGTTCATTTCTAAGAACCTTCATAAATTACATGGGAATTTACTGAGATTTTTTTTTTTTTTCAAAATTTACTGTTGACTGTGATCACATTCAGTCTACTTTATTTATATTTTAATATATTTTCAATATAGAATTCGAACACTGAGATCACGATAAGCAATCGACCACCATTAAGTCACTAAGAAAACAAGTCCTGGAAAAGGAAGAACGGATTCGCGAACTACAGGCCAAGCATGATCCCTCTTCTATCCATTGTGTCTGGTGCCACCCAGTGGCAGCTGTGAAATTCCCACAACGTCAACTGCTCCTAGATTCTTAAGAGAACGATGTACTCTCTTTATTGCAGTCTTGCATAGTGTTACAGGGTTTGTTTTTTTAAAAACTGGAGTAGTTTATGGTTAAATTGCGTTTTTTTTTTTTTTTAAATTGGAGAGTGATAAGCTGGCTGAAGTATCTGTATGGAAGTAAGAATTAAGCAGCTTAAGTCAGAACTCAGACTCTAGAGTAGACTACTTTACCCTTGATGTAAGTCGAAATGAATTCCTCAGCACTGTTAAACACAGTCTTTCAAATTCAGTAATTCCTTGCCTAGGGGCTAAGAGACATGTCAAGGTTCAGATGCTTAAATAAGATTAAATAGCTAGTCTTATATTCAAATAAAGTTCAAAAGAACAGTTGTATTTGTTTCTATTTGAATTGATTCAGGTCTGCTATTCATTTTGTAAACCAAAAATTGTCATGTATGCAACTGATACTTTTTATTCTACCTGCTGTAACTGATATAATACTGTTCTTCAATTATATTACTCTATCAACTATAACAAAGCTATTAGTATATCTGAATTTCTTGTCTGCCCAAGAGTTTAACTCCTCTAACCTTTCTGATTTTTTTAACTGAAGAAAGAATGCACTTATCTGAAAATACTTCATTTGAAAAATAGAGAGCCCTAAAAATGGTTAAATTGTAGATTGTTTATTTTCTGTTTCAAAGTGAATTTTTCCACCATAAGATTTTAAATTTAAAATAGTTATTGGATAGCATACTTTCTTTATAAAATAGATTTTATAATTTTCATAAGCTGTAAGATATAATAACTAAAATAACAGAGTATAAAGAAATTTTTAGATGTGCTGTATTCCTGGGGATTTTTTTTAATACAATATTGACATTGTATTAACAGTGTTGTATTCCTGAACATACTACCATTCATTTTGATTTCATTGGAAAAAAATCTAGATATCTGGATATATTTAGGTATTGCTTGTGTTTATATTTAAAATATAAATTAGTGTTCTAATAGTGGAAGCATTTTATAAGGCATTATTTTCTCATTGAACAAAGATTACTTTTTAGCGCATGAGAGTTTTGGGGGTTTTATGAGAAATTTCTGACAAAAGCTGATGCTATTTCTAGGTTTTGTATTTTGTCTCATCTGACACACAAGGATAGAGTTTTTTCAACTGTTTCTGTGAATTACTCAGTTGGATGAAAGGAGGCTTTCCCATTTTGCTTTCTTTTGAAAATAATTTTGCAAAAAATACTATTTGAATGATTGTTTGAGACATCAAAGGAATTTAATTAATTGAATTTTTTGGTTTAGAAGCTTTCTTTTCCCTTTTCTTGATAATAGTTTAAGAATTATTGTGATTTCAGTTCAGATAAGCAAAAATCAAATAAAAAATATATTGCATATTTAGAAAAAGGTCTCTTTAATAAGAGACTGAAACTGGGTTTAGTACTTGGCAACCAGGTAAATTGCAAGAACCGCATGAGTTTTCATTTTTGAAAGTGTTGCAGAGCTATAGGCATGATAGATTGTCTACTGCCTTTATACCTTTTAGTTGCATATTAACCAAATTTTCTAGCAGTGACATGCAGTCCAGCTTCCCCTGCAGAATTTCTCAGTTGGAGGGGGATTTTACTATGAAAAGATATTTGATAGAAGACTTAAGGTCTCATCTAAAAGAAAATCAAGAAAATGAGAAAACCTCAAATGAAACATCGAAAAGACTTGAGAGAAAGGTACTTCTTTCTTGCTATTCCTAGTTTTCGAAAAAACAGAAGCTGGTGGGTTTACAGAAGTTATTTCAACACACTATACATATTAAATCAATATATTGCTTAAAGCAAAGAACATACAGTTAATTGAAGGGTGTAATTCCCTCCACTATAATTTGTATGAAATCAGTATATGGTGATAGCTTGAATGGATTCAACATAGTTTAATTTATCTTTGTTATAGGTGTAATTAAGTATTAAGATATTCAGAACACACAGTTGTGAGGATATGCTCTAAGTAGTGGGATTTAGTTTTATGCAATGTAAGTTCACAAAATATAGTAGACCTGAAACAAGAGTGATTTTACATGACATATGCTAATGAAGTCCATGCATCTCTCCTGGCTATAGTAGTTAAACGCTTTAATATGTTAATCTATTTTCTACTGCAGTGTTATGAATGATTCACTGTTCTTAGCTTGAAGTAATTCTAACTGTGTAGGTAGTGGTTGACTTTTATAGCAAATTATTTTCTCCTGCAAAATTTTAGTATGATTTTGCAGGAGGTAAGAGAACTTGTATATAGTTTAGCATATTTCCAAAAATACTACCTTACGCATTGCACTTTGGCCTTCAGTTCCAGAAAAAGATCATGATGTTTGTTTGTTAGGTTATGCAGCTTATAACCCCAAAATAGAAATAAACAATCTGCCAGTTTGCTTTTGTTTGCCTAGAATGCAAGTGCTTGCTGAATGTCACAAGCATTATTCCTGCTTGCAGTCATACAGCATTTGCAGCTCCGAAGAGAGCTACCGTATAACCCTCCATGCTAAAGATAAGGTGTTATTAAGAAATCCACAGCCAGAAAGTGAAAGCATAAGTAAGCAAGGGAGCTAAGGTATGACATGAGAAAAATACCTGGTTTTGGTTTCGGTTTTAGAATGGAATGTTGTGCTTTAGTGCTGTACTTGGAGTATTTTAAGCACTTCATTTCCAGAGAATCATATTCCATACATTATTTTGATAATTATATGTGAAAATCAGCTTGATAAATTTTACATTATCTTCAGCAAAAGATCAAAGAAATTCCCTGTTACTCGATATTGTCAGGAAAACTTTGTGCTTAGCACTATAGGAAAGCGGAACGATATTTAGGAGCATTGTTTTTTTTAATTTTACCCTCAATCAGTGTTTTCATTAGATAATCATTATCTTAGAAGTTTTACAGACTATTAACAAATGGACAGTTATTTTTTCAGCTGAGTTTGAATTTATGTTTTTATCTCTGACAAAAAGAATTAGTGGAAGTTGCCGTTTACTCCCTTTTGCAATTACTCTAAGTTTAAAGTATATATGAACAAACAGCTCTGCAAATGAAGAGCTTTTCTTTATATTTAATGCAAGTCAAAACTTTATGTAACGAGATTGTTTGCAAACTGATCTCTACTGGCTCAACAGCAGAGGTCCATTAAAGTCTGCAATTTCAGAAAAAGATACTTCAGTAAAATTATTTCTGTAGTTATGTATTTTTATGTAATAAAGGTATGCTTAGTTCTGATTTCGTTCTAATTTTGAAATTTTCTATCTTGACAGTCAATGCCTTTCATTATTTCAGGTGAAGGCACTGGCTGAAGACGAAAAGCTTCCATTGACTCAATGAAACAAAGATTTAATGTAGCTATGAAAGAGAAGTCTCAGTATGAGCAGATGTATCACAATGCCAAAGATGATTTGGAGAAATAGGTGTAATTAGAGTTTTGATGGCTCCACTGTGGAACTTTCTCATACCTTACTTTCAAATGAAAAGTTGCAAGGTCATCAGCTTAAGCTTTCATAGCAGAATTGTAATCTGTTTCTCTGATGTAATTCAGTCACGCTTCTGAAATTTAGATACTGAAACATGAACATAATGACTGAAAATTAATCATTAGTTTTTGCCAGGAAATTACATACTATATGTTGGAAGTGAAATATTCTGTGATGTCAGCTGTGGTGTGGGAGGTTGGTTTGTTCATTCATGTGGTTTGTAATCTACCATATCTTCCCATCAGCTTTTATCATAGCACTGCTGTGTCTCTGTGGATGTGTTTCAGGACCTCGAGCTTATTAAACTAGGGAGCAAAATTATTGAGACTGAATGTTCTATGGCTGAACTCGAGACTGCTGCATCTCAACAACTACATGGCTAAACTGAGTACACAGGTTTCAGAAACTCTAAAGAAGGAGCTGCTGCTCACTAGTGACAGAGTTCAAGACATTTGTGAAGGTTTGAATATTGATTTTCTTTTGAGTGTTCATCTGAATAAAGGTACTTTTGATTGAAAGCAAAATGTAAAAGATTAAGCAAGGCTTTGATGCATTCCCTGTTCCAGAACAATGTTTGTGGTTGCTGTAGTGTTCTGGTGTCGGGTCTGAATGAGGAGAAAGAATCACTGCCTCTCTCCCAGGCTCTCAAAGACTTCCATAGCTTTTATTGGTCATCTTTTTATATATGGCTGCCATATACTTGGTCCCAAAAGAAAGTGGTTAGTTGTATATCAGATTCCTTTGCAGCAAATAAATTCTCAATGCATTTAAATATAATAATTAAAATCTATTTAATACTGTGAATTACCTCGTTTTCCATAGGCACATGCTTCTTGATTTAGAAATACTATATAAGCAAGCCTCTACATTGCAAAATTGAAAGCATTTTTAAGAGTAGTATGTAGAAGATTGTTTCCTTATATTCCTTCCAGGGCAGTAGTCACAGCACCGGCCTGATAGAGTTCAGGAAAGGTTTGGACAACGCTCATGGTGTGACACTTGGGTATGGTTCTGAGCAGAGCCAGGAGCTGAACTTTGATGATCCTTGCAGGTCTTTTCCAGCTCAGAAGATTTTGTGATTTTATTAATGTAGCATATAACTACTGTACACTTTCAAAGAAGGCTCTTGCTTACTAGCCCATGAAACAGCCGCTTCTCTACTGCTCTTGTGTTTCTGTAGAAGTGAGCTGATTTCAGATATGTTTGAGGAAGGCTGAAGCATTCAAAGTAAAGAGTAAGGGAATTTTGATGCACTGGAAAAAGAAAGCATATATAGTTATCCCTTCAAAAATAACTTTCAACTCTGGATTGAAATTTAGTGCCTTAAATAGTTGTGCATTACATCTTTCTGTCATCATCAGATGAGAAGTCACTCTAGGTAGCAGTATTTAGACCTGTAGCATTTGTCTGAAATCATCACATGTTCAGTTCAGTTTCTAAGTTCATAATCATTTCCTTTACGAAAAAAGACTGAACAATGTTGAATACGCTTTAAAATACTAAATACAAGTAATGCATAAACTAACTTATCTAAGGGGAAAATAAGATTTGTTTTCATGAAAAAGTGCCTGTTATTTAAAAACCTAGATATTTTAATTTTTAAAGTTTATTATTAAAGTGATTTATATTTTCTGTTTGCCTTTTGATATAACTGTTGAAAAAGAGGTATAAAACTGATCACTATACCCATTTGTGAAGAAATATGCTGTCTATTCTTGAACAGATGGTAAATTTTCATGGGAGAAAATGTGCTTTCCTCTAATACTGAATGGTTAATGTAAGAGGAAGATATAGGTGTTCTTTCCACAGCTGCATGCTTATTTTTGACTCAATATGGAAAAGGCTGAATCAATCTAATGTAATATCTATTATTTTTAATTAATTACTCCTATGTCATTGATGAAAGAGAGAAGCAATTCAGTCTCTGTTCAGACAGCTATGAGTTTTGGAATGTCTTCACTGAGTAAAGTGAAAGTAGCAGTTACAGAAATAAGGAGATAAACAAATCATACTATCAATATTTTACATACCTCTGTAATGAAAAGTTTTTAAAAAATTAGAAAATGAGAAAGTAAAAGATATCTGTTTTCAAAAGTAAATGTATTGAGTGGAATCACCTATTAACAACTATTATTATAGCTTCATTCACTGTTGAATAAGATGACAGCTTCATTCTTAATTATAATGAATATTTATTAGCACTTGCATGGTTGCACTAGATGTGGAAAATATGTTAATATGAAATAATAATAATAATAATAATAATAATAATAATAATAGTGAATACTCTGCAAACTATTGTTTGAAAACAAAGAGTGTCTAAAAGGAAACTACTTTGTTTAGTTGGGTGCTAAAATCAGATTTTATTAACAATATACCATTGTAAAAAAGTAAAATCTTTGGCAATTTAGTGGAATTGTGCATATATCAAGAAAATCCTACTAAAATATCTCTTTTGTACCTGATATTATGACAAGGTATTGTGATAATACTTACTGTAATAAGTAGCAGTACTACTTCCTTTTGAAAAAAGTGTGGCTCTTCTTTGGAAGTCTCTTCTGCCTCATTTCTTCTCTTCTGGATAGCTGCCAGGTCCCCTTTTTACCTTGATTCTCACTCCAGTTCCAGTAATTAAAAAAAAAATTCTATACAAAGATAAAGTTTAACCCATATATATCACTTAAACATGTTAACAAACTTATATGACCCTTTAATATTTGTCTGTTATTCTGATCACTTCATAAACTTTACTTTTTACATTTTTCAGAGTGCAAGTGTAATTTTCTCCTCATTCTTAAATTGAATGCAGTTACTTTTCATACCCATTCCATGTGTCTTGTGACATTATATAGTTCTTTTTTAATGTACATCAATTAAATTATTTCAGAGCTGCTAATTAAGTTGCTGCTAGTTCCAGCTATAAATGGGACAACAGGGCAACTTCTGAGAAGAGTGTGACTGTTTATGGTATGCAGTGGTACTTGCTTTTAAAGTTATTGACAACACAGAACCACAGGATCTTGGATCTATTTGGATCAAGATAATGAGTTACAAAACCTAGAGAAGAGGTTTCTGGTAGAAATTCAATATACATCAGTGGATCACATTAGAGGATATAATGAATTACTGATTGAGCAAATATTCCATTACCGATGGAATGTAATAAAATGTTGCATTGCTGTGGTCACCCCAATTTGGGACACTTACACAATGAGCTAAAATCATTAGATTGTAGAATCTAGTAATAGTTTCCAAAAATGCTGAAAGGAATGCTTATAAATAAAGACTGCTGTGTCCAATGTGTTGTGATTATTTGATTTATTTTTGTTGGAGCGTGGGATAGGAATTAGGTCTTATGTGCTGAATGACTTTCAGTGGAAACTGACAGGGCACCTGAAACGTTATAATTAGTATAATTATAATATAATATAATATACATAATATATATATATACTAATATAATGTAATAGTATAATTCAGAGCAATTCATTTGTCCAAAGCTGTTATGAGGAAGACACAGGCTAGTAGGAAATATGAATAGAAATTGTGGACTGTAACAGTTTATTAAGTAATCAAAAAACCACTGTTGCATAATTAGATGGTAGCTCCTTATGAATATCTATTTTATTTTGGTAGGAAAGTGAGTAAAATATTTAGAAATAAGAGGCAACATAAACAAAGTGGAAAACAGATTATAGATAACAACCTGAAAACATAAGCAACAATGGAGCGTAAAAGATGAATAAGATGCTGAAGAAGTCAAGAGGAAATCTTTGGGTAGCAAGGCCAAGAGCAGTGGTAAACAGGCAGGATTTAAAACTGTGCTACTACTAAGGTAGCTATTACAGGGCAGATGCTAACTATTATTAGATAAAAAAAACCCTGTGTAAAGAGAGAAGTCACCGATTATTTCTGGTTTGTGTCTGGAAAGAAGTAGGTTGATGTCTCATGAAGATGCTGCAACATTCTTGATCTATTAGTAGCCAAGATTTTTAACATTTTGTGGAAAGATGTAGGATTTTTGGATTGAGAATTTTTATAGCCTACCACTTTATAGAGCTGGCTAAGAAATATTTCTCTTGCTGATCCTCATTTTGAATAAGTATTCAAAGTCAGTGCATATGTATTACGACACTGCCTAGAGTCTAAAAGAATGATAATATTGAGTCAATATTCAGAAAAGGCAGTATTTTACATTCATTAATCTGACTTTATTTCTGAATAAAATACTGATATGAAATTCAATTATTAAAGTATTAAAGCATGGAAGTATATTTATACTTCATAAAATGCCTTTATGGAAAGCAAACTGTGTTGAGTAAATCCGGGTTTTTTTTTCTGGAGAGTAGTACAAGTTTAATTATAAATTAATTATATAATTTAATTATAAATTAATTATAATAAAGGTTTAATTTGTTTTAATATACCTTTTTTAAGATCCCTGACCTACTACTGAGATATTCAGATAAAAAAAAATAGCGTATGCAATATCAATAGTATGTTAAATGGATTAAAAATATCTCATGCAGTTGATCTGAAGAATAAATCATAAAATGTGGGTGTTTTTTAGAGTTCCGTAATGACGAGAACTAAACTTGATTATTAAACGTTTTCACAAAATGTCCTGGTAAAATTTTTCCATGGTATTTATCAAGACTAAGACATAATAGTGAAAATAAAGCTGTAAATATACCAACTAGGCCAAATAAAACTTTTTTATTACAGAAGAATGCAAACTACCTGGAAGAGGGATCAGGTGGCTTGGAGAGTATTTCAGATGTGTTTTCTGGAGCTCATGTCTTTATCCTACCCCACTTCCTTCAGCAATAAATTCTCTTTGAATCATGAATTCAATTTTTATGGTGTACCAGGAGTTTCTATAACATGTACTGTTAGATCCTCAGGTGGATCCTGCCAGTTATGTGAAGCACAGCAACCAGAGCAAAATGTTCTTTGTTGTGTGTTCGTAGTACTTGTGAGAACTCACACAGCCATTGGATAAAGTTAAAATATTGCTATTAGACTGCTTGACTGGATTTCTATAGAAAATACAGTTCAACATACTAATTTATTATAAAACTGCATGAATTCTGTTTTCCAGCATGTTCTATTTTTTTGTCCTCCTCTAGACTTTGACTGACTGTATGTTTCTGTTAGAGGATTTTGCAAGCCAGGACTCAAGAGTGTCGTCTGTCCCATTCAACTTGTACATCAGCAAAACTAATTTCAATCTGCAGTGATGATGCCTGCCTGAACATGAGACTATCAGAGCTTTTCTGACCTTGAAAAGGATTGTTTTGATAAGGCATCTATATTCAGCTGTGGTGGTAATAAATTGGTGATGACAGCTGAATGCTTCAGAATCAGTTGAGTGCACGTCTTACTTCCATACTACCTCTGTCATTTGGGACTTGTGTGCCTTCCACGGAGGATACCCTCTGCAGCACAGTGCACATCTGGTGTGTTCTGGCATTGTTCTTGGTAGTTCTCCAGTACAACCATCTGATAAAACTGACTGCCAAAATCAAGACCCAAGATAGTTGACTTGGCAGGCTTAATGGATCTAAGTTGGGATCTAACACTCACCCTCTTAAGACAGCTGCCCTCATTTTGGCTACTCAGAGCTGGGCTAGAGCTGGGCTTGAGCTGGGCTTAAGCTAGGTGCGTTTCCCCCTTGCTCTCTTGTTTGACGTACATCTATGTTCACCAGCCACATGTGTCAGAGGACTTATTTCACCTCTGCTTGGCCAAGTGGTGTTCTGCCAGTTACTTGCCATTCAGTCAGTTTACCTTATACCTTAACATATGTCAGTCTCTATTACCTTTCTGCAGTTTATCTTGAATACTGACAGAAATTTTGCCGTGGCATATTTCCTCACTGCTATCTTGGGCTATAGTTCAAAATACAGATTTAGGTAAGTTAATGCTTTTATTGAAAAGCTATACCCCCAAATGAACCTCACTCCTCATTGCTGCCATTAGGAAACTTCCTCCCTACTCCGTTTCTGATATGCCATCATAGACATTATTTGGGTTGATTGTGAGCTAGTTCATGAGAATTCAATTAATGCTCTAAAAACCTACAACACCAGCTTTTGTGTACCACAGAGGGTCAGAACAGGGACAGGTTTACATGGTTGCAGGCTGGAGATGCTGGGACTGCCCCTTAGTGGAAGTGCTAACTTAAAATGATACAAAAAACTTTTTCCTGTTGCAAACAATTGGTAATTAATGACTAGCCACATAAAAAAAAATCCTAATATTTGGCACATTCCTGTTATTTACTATCCTTGTCTTTTTCTTTTGAACTGTTCTGTGTTGGCTCAAGATAAATCATTGCTAAGCAATATGTTCTTCTCAGGATGGCTGCATACAGATCATGTCCTATTTGCTCTTTATCTATAAAAAAAACTTTAAAAATATTAGATATAATTAGTTGAGCTGGAAGGCACAAATATTTGGGAAATATTTTTATCGGGTTTACAACATGAGAGCAACACAAGTATACTGCTACTGTCTTTGCTTTCAGTCACAAAGTCAGATACAAGGAAATCCTTGCAGGCAACTCTCAGAATTCTCCAGTTACAGTGAGACAGCAAGAGATGTTCTACATTGAACTTTGCTATTGCTGAATGTATTCTCAAACCCTATGGATTCAATTTTCCTGGCAGTACTAGTGCTCCAACGTCTCCAGGCCCAGTATGTGTAGAACATAGTTTTTCAGATGGATACCCAGATCAGAAGCAGAATGACCATCTGTTTCTTTATCTGAAAAAAGAAGCTCGTAATGGACAACTTCAATAATTGAAATTCAATAATTGGCAAAAAACAGACTTTTTGTGGAAATAGAACTATTGTGTGCTGTACAGATGAAAACTGGTTTATTGTGAAAATTTTGTGCAATTGTATCCGAACTGTGACAATTTTGAACTGTTGTTTGACCAAAGAAAGATTGCTTCAGCGAGTCACTGGGACATTTTGCAAACAACAGCAGATATTATCACATAAATCAGCACTGTCAGTTTTGATTTGGAAGTGGACATCTTTAATATGACTTCAAGTTGCTGGAAAATTTTCTCCACTGGGAACACTTGAGAGCCAAAAGATAAGTATATTTCATTTATTACACTCCAAACTGTCAACACTTTACCTAGAAAAGTATACCCAGAGTGATTATTTTGGATTGTGTGGAGTACATGATAAGTCTGCCAATCTGTGTTCAGTCAGAATCAGCGTAATATTTGATTTCAGGAATATGTTCCACTATGATTAGAATCAGTGTTCTTACCTGTAGAATGTACACCTTAAAAGGTGATGTCTTATATGAAAAGCAAAATCTGTGTAAGAAAATCTCACCATTAAAAAAAATTAGGCATTTATTGCTTCTTCTTCACTGTACATGCTACTTTAGGAAAAAAAAAGTAGAAACACAGCTTTTATTATGAAATACCAACCTTTCTTGGTTCTGAGAAGAAATTGGTGATAAATTAAGCTAATCTCCACCAGGATTACTCTGCATCTGGGATTTAAACAAATTGAATCAGAGGCCTGAATAGTGACAGTGAATATCTATTAGCCTGTAAACAGAATAATAGGCCTTGTGAATTTTAATGAATTAAGTGAATGGCTGAATTCTTATAGTTTACAGAAGACATATGCTTAGTGATACATACAGTATGTCAGGAACAGCATATACTGTAGATGACTTTATGCATAAAATCTTGATAAAAAAAAGGAAGAATGAAGAGGAAGATGTTGAAAAGCATGTCAGTACTCTACTTTTTCTTTGCTTTTTAGACTTACAAGGATAGCACTTCACTTTGGGTTTTGACTATGATAGATAAAGACCATAACAGATGTAGTTTAAAATATACTGAATGTTTGTAGCTCTTACTTTTTATCTAATTCTGTATTAAGAATTTAGGGATGTTGATTTAGATGATTCAACTGTTTAACCAAGTTGTAAGGTATGCCAGTTTTTTTGTAGCTGTGCATGTATATCTCATGCAAAGTTTAGATGCATGTCTGACATTCACAGGTGATTTTGTTGATAATGGTGCTATTTTCACTTTTCTTAGAGTGCAAGAGAACCATTTTCACAGACCATGACTATAATTGTAGATAGCATGTGAACAGATCCAACAAACTTGAAGTGGAGACTGTTTTCATTCACAAAAATTTCCATTTGTGCCTAAATAAAAAAATAAAAAATAAATCATATAAATTTAACATAAAATGAGATTGAAACAGGATCAGCTGGATCAGCTGGGCGCTAGTTGGAGACTCTGTACTGCATTTCCTGGAAGGGTCTAGATCCACCTGGGATTTCTTTAAATGTATTGGAGAGACTTCTTTTTAAAGCTCTTTCTCCGTTCCCTGCTGGACATAGAAAGATACTTAGTTTAAGGATAACAGCCAGTTGGAGGTCTAAAAGAGAGAAACAATGTTCACTGGAAAAAGGAATGACTGGAAGACTTCAGGGGTGGAGATAGTACATATGAAAGGTTCTGGGCTTGAAGTGATTAGAAAGCCTTCTGGCAAAAATACAGGAAAATTAGAAAAACTTGGAAAGGAGGAAAAAAGGTCTCCAGTAATGATTTAATTAAGAGTTCACATAGAAATAGTTGTTTAATGTATGTCAATCAAATTGCTAAGAAAGCAAGCTGAAGCAGGGAGAACATAAAGCACTCAGTAATATACAGGGTCTTGTGAAGTGTCCACAGTAACTGAGGAAGTTGGGAGTTAGGGGTATTCCCCAAGGCACATGCCAGAAGGGCTACAGAGAAGTAGGAAGAGCTCTAGGAAGAAAGAATCATTAAAAAAAAACCAGAAAAACAAACCAACAAATTACAGTATTTTAAGGAAACATAGTTGGTAAGTTTTATTGGATTTTTTAAGAGTCTAAGTAATGCCAGAGCTGACCTCTTTAAGTTGGGTTTCAGACACATTTGTTTCAGCAGTGCAGCAGTCTTACACAGAGCATCTGATTTATAGTTCTTAGGTTTTTTGTGTGTTTCTGCAGAAAGATAGCACAAGCTTAGACTCTGAGCTGAGTGTCAGGAAATCATGGTGTTCTTCACATCTTGGTCACTGACCTGCTATGTGACCTTTGGAGTGTTGCTTCTCCTCAGTATTTCTTGGTCTGCCCTGAATATCTTTGTTACATCTGGTACAACTGTGCTGAATTTGTCTGCCCTAACTGTTCAAGATAATAAACTCCCTAAGATCTCAGGCATTTCTTGCTACACATGTGTGAAGCTCTAATTTCTGTCAGTGCTTTTTTTCCTTCTGTGTAAATAGCTGTAATATATGAAGTTTTAAAGGAATGATGGTACTTTAGCTAGCACCTGTGTAAATTAGAGGAAATTCTGTTGAAACTAAAGAATTTACAACAAGCAAAAAATTAATATAAATGAGGTAGTACTTAAATGCAGAAGTAAATAGGACCTTAAATTATTATTATTATTGCCCATTCCACATAAATAGAATATTAGAAACCAATATATTTTGACAGAAATATTCTGCCTGTCATCTCATGATGGTTATACATATTTCAACTCATTCTCAGTTATAAAGAAAACTATTGTTTTTTCTCTGTTATAGGTCACAAAACATGGTAATTATGCTGAAAATTTAGCAACAGTAAAATGAAAACTATGAAGTGTTCGCTGATACTTAACAATCAACATCAGACTGAAAACATTTGGGTCTACAGTTCAAGTTTTTGACAGTCCTAAAGCTTAATGTACAGGAGAGATCAGATAATCGTAAAGCTGTAAAATTATATATGACCATTAGTCCCTCATATTAGTAGCTACCTATACATATTAGTATAAATGAGGTGTCCAGCTGATGCAGTAAATTGTACTTAAAGATATTACAAAAAAAGTAATGAAAGAAAGCAGGTTTTAAAGACAAGATTTCAGGCATAAAGTGTGACAGCTAAACAGTTCTCAAGAGAGGATTAGAAAACAAAAAGAGAAAGTGCTGGCCAGAAATACAAAGGCCCTAATTTTTATTCACGCAGGGAATTTTAAAACACATAAGTGTACCTTTAAGACTATATGGTATATTCTCTACTGAAACATAAACTACATTGTAATTGTAATAGTAAGTCCATTGCTGTATCTTTGTTTAAATATGGTTTGTTTTGAAGACAACCTATAATTAAAATCTTTCCATGACTTAAGTCACTTGTCTATGTATTTGTAAATAATTTTTTTTTTTTTCAGAACATAGCACAATATATTCATTTCCATTTTTTATACTGTCAAATATAGAACATCAAATTGAAATATTTTCAGTATTCTTCCCTATGGTTTTCTGCACCTAGATATGGTTTAGGAAATGCAGTCAAAAGAAGATTCTGAATTTTTTAGTCAGAAATATATGGTTATAAAGAAACAATTTGTTTTTAATTGTTTTGAATCGAGAGGGATTGGTGTTTTGCTAGAGTCTGTAGGATGAGGTATTTTGGAGAAATCAAGAGCCAGCCAAGGAAGACTTCCACCCCTAATGGCAAGTAGGTATAGCTCAGTATAAGCAAGCATAGTTTTACAAATTCAAATCTTGCCATTGATGGGGATGAGATTATAAAATTTTATGCAACAAAGTTACTAATTTCTGTCCCTGTATCTTATTATTCTTACTACATTTTAACTGAGTTTTTGGGGTCTGCAGTACTAAGTGCCAAGGAGAATAAGTTTTTTATGCAAATACTGAAATTGTCAGGCCCTTTTTATACTGTATGACTTGAGGGATTCTCAGAAAAGCCACAGTGGGTTTAGATTTAGTAGTTGAAAAAGAAATACTGTGAAAATCTGTGTACATGTCTTCAGATGTGTGTTTTGGGATGTTACAGAATTCACCTTTTCTAGTTCACAATCTATCAACCATACCTTAGATCCATGGAGAAGGTAGGGCTGGGCTAGGATGTTGGACTGCAAACTGGAGATAGCTTTTGCTATCTCCAATAGATAGCAAAATAACCAATAGGATAGAAAAGAATGATAATATTTTAAATTACTTAAATGAATTTTTCAGATCTTGTCTCTTATAATCTTAATTATGTTCATGTGTGTTCAGGTTTGCCTGTGTTAACTGAAAAATCAGGAAATCGTGAAATATCAGGTTGTAGATGCAACTGTGATACCACATTATTTTACATTCAGACTGCAATTTCTCTATATTTATGTATAATGGAATTCTTTGAGGTCATCAGGTGAGGCAGTTTTTCCAGGCTATGCGTGCTTTTATCTTACACTTATCACTGTGAAGTTGTGAGCAGTGTTCTCAGTGCCAATCAACATAAGACTGTTTAATTTAAATCATATATATTGGTCTGGTATCTAGCTTTAGAGGATTTCTTCCTTTCAGCTATTTATTGAATTAGACTTTGAAACTTTGCATCTCTGCTAGATTTTAGGTGTCACACTAATATTCTCTTAAATGTATCTTTTTGATTTTTGAGTGGTTTAACAAATTCAATGGTTTACTTGTTTACTGTATTCTTAATAGAAAATATAATAAAATCATATCTTTGTTCCTCCAAGTACACAAAACTATGAGACATGTAGTTTGAACATGTATATTAATAGCTTTTAGAATTACAGCAGAAATTATGACTTTAGACAAGTAAATAAAACCAACTCATCACCTTATAAATGTGGCCAGTGTGACATTAGTAAAATAATGTTATTAACACTTTAATATTTGGCTGCAGAAGCTTGAATACTGGACTTGGTGAAGTAAGGTAAGTCTATATGTCCTCTACATCTTTACTAAGAGGGCATCTGCTGGAGTCTCTAAAAATGACATGTGATCCCTGTGAACTGTAAGAATGAAATCAATCTCATGAGGCTTTCTTATTCCCTTGGGTCAGAATGCTACATGTTATAGCCCTAAGCAAAACAAGTCTGTTGTAGTGGTCTTTTTTGTGTGTCTTGTCTTGTCCCTTTTCTGATTAAAAAAGGTTATGCCTAAAGGTGTATTTTTTCAAGTGAAGGACTTGAGGTAATTTAAATAACATATATAAATATATATTAAATAACATATATAAAAATGAAATTATTATAGAAGAGTTTACAGTCCTGCTGTGATATCAGTTTAAACATTATTACTGAAAGTACTTTGAAAGTCATTTTTCAAGAGGCAATAAAGAACAAATAACTATGCTTTCATTGAATATTTATCTCAGCTGCTGAAATGGTATATGACATTTATCTTTTTGTGCCATTTTGTCCATTTATTCTGTTTTGTTTTGTTGATTATGAGGTATTTGGGGTTGTAATATTTCTCAGCCTTTTTGCAACATTAGGATCTGGCCTAACCCTAAGCCAGCAAGAAGCATTCCAATACAAAAGCAGAGTTCTTTAAGCTCAGTTCTGTGAAATTTAGCTCATATTATTCAGAGACAGCTACAACATCTTCATAACACTTTTGACTCTTTAGGAAATTAACCTTGTTTCAGAAAAGATTTTTCCACTTAATTTTTGGTTTAACACTTTGAGCCACGTCCATTTACTTTTCTAATCTGCAAAACAAGTGAGTTTCTAAAATTATTTTTATCTAAAGACATCTCCATATTGAGCTACACACACAATACTACATACAAAATTGTTCTGTATATTATATTATATTATATTCTTCTATACATTTGTGGTTGGTTGACCTGGCCAGCAGCTAAGCACCACATAGTACTTTGTTGACTCCCTGCTTGCTCCCTTCCCCCCGTAGGACTGGGGAAGGAATAAGAAGAGCAAAAGTGAGAAAACTTGTGTGTTGGTAAAGACAGTTTAATAAAGGAAAGAAAGGGGGATAAATCCCTAAGGAATGTAGATCAATGCCTAGCCAGTCTCTGAGCTGACAAATCACCATCCCCCTCAGATTTTATTGTTAAGCAGTGTATGTGTGAAATGTCCCTTTGATCACTAGGGGCCAGCTGTCCCAGCTGCATTCTCTCTCTACATTTTGTGCATCCCAAGCCCACTTGCCGAGGTGGCAGCATGGGAAACAGAAGACCCTAACACTGTGCCAGTGCTGCTTAGCAATGTCTGGTATGTTATCAGCACTGGTTTATTTACAAATCCCAAACACTGCACCTTGGTAGCTGCTGGAAGACAATTAACTCCATCTCCATTTGAGCTGTAAGATAAGCCAGCAGGAAAGAAGACTGGCCTGGTTAGTAGAGACTTTAGGCTCAAACTGCTGACAAAAAAAGGTGTAGCATCTCTGGAAGGATGAAAAGGTAATTTGGGGGAACTAAAAAGATGTTGTAAAGTATGTGGAGAGAAAATTAGAAGGGCCAGAGCTAAACTGAACCTTAATTTGGCTACTGTGGTTAAAGACTAGGTGATACAGAAGGTCTCTTCCAACTTTGGTGATTCTGTGATCTCAGCCACATGCAGCACACTGTTATTACTATTGTACAAAATACAGTAAAACTAAAAATTATCCATGACTTGTGAGCCACTTGTGAGCCATGGACTCTGCCATGATATCTGCACCACTGCAAGACTGAAATCTGGTTTTACATAGGTACAGTGGTAGCTAGCATCAGAATTGGTCTTGGGACCATTAGGTTCTATTATGCTACAAACAATAATAATGTGTAAATTAAGATGGTAATTACAGGAAAATTTTTGGCATTGCCTTGGTCATACAACATTATTTAGGGCCATTGATCAAATTATGTTAATTCCAGGATCAACGAGTGTCAGTGTTTTGGGATGTGAAGACCTTATTAATAGTGTGCTGTCAGGGTCTTTTTGTCACTAAGGCTACTTGAGTGTTTAATTAAAAATGACCTTTTAATTGAAAGAAGACCTTTGTCTTTATACATCTCAAAACTGGCAAAAGATGTAGTGCTAAGAAGTGATTACACACTGAGCATAAATTTGAAAACAATATATTCTTAAAAATGAATATTTGAGGTAGTGAAAATAAAGTAAAAAGGCTTGTAATGGATATATTTCAGAAGTCTGTGTAACCAAAGATCTGTAATGTATACTATATAAATGATATGGAGTTGTTTGATAATTCAACAATTGCTACTGATTAAAAAGGTCTAAGAACTATAAGGTCATTTTGTTAGATTTTTAAGCTTCTTTTTTTTATAGTCAGATCAGTGGCAATTGCACTGGTCTAACAAGAAGTGGTGTAGAGTCATTTTAGGAATTAATCAAGAATTCCTATTCCAGTTGGCTGGTAGCAGCAAAATGTGTCCCACTGGAATAGCTCTGATGGTAATATCTAAGTTAGGAAAATGGCTTTGCTAACAAAATATTCTACGGATTTGACAGAAAAAGAAAAAAACAAAGAGAAAATCTCAAATCCTAGTGTTACGGGTACTAATAAAGGCATTGTTATAAATCAGTATAGTACAGAAGTAATGTATTGCACTGATTTCATTTTAGGTAGCTTGCATCACCAATGTGATACCTTTTCATATTTTTCATTATTCTGTGCTGCCTAGGTGTGTAGTTCTGAGTTTCATATTAAGTGTTAGTGAGCTCTCTACACAGAGTAGGTAGACAAAACAATTCCTTTTCCAGCTCGATATCAAGGATAATCATTAAAAGTTTCAGGCCCAAAAGCATAAACAATGGTGGACTGAAGGATGTGGAAAGAAAGGATGTGACTTAATAATCTAAAGCAGTGATTGGACAATTAACTCCAATATGCAGATGGACCAAAGCTTATAAAAGTGTGAGACCTCATAACCAGTTGTCTATTTTTTTAGGTCCATGTTGGGTGTAGCCCTGGCCAGGGACTTGTTCTGCCCAAGGTGTATCCTTTAAGGCCTTTCAGTAAATACCTACTTTATTCTTAACTCTGTCTAGCCTCTGATCTAGGACAGCCTTCTCAAAGCATCATATGTATGCTTATTAGTTTAAAAATAAGGAATTTGAAATAGAGAGAGAGAAATGTTTTAGTTCAAAATCTACTCCTAGCTCCAGAATGCATTGGATCAAATTCTTAATCACACAAAAATGTTATACTGACTTCAGTACACTCATTAGCAAAACCTATGCTGCTTAGTTCTTGAGTTTTGTACTCAGTTTCTAAAACCTGTGTGGCTTGAGACCGAACAGTTCTATATTGGAGCATGAACGAAGATATAAATTAAATCACTAATAAGTAAACAATTTAGCACTTGAATACATTAGGATATGACAGATGAGAAAATATCAGAAGAAAAAGCAACTTAAAATCATAGGAAGACTATAACTTTTTAAGGCACTTACTTAGCGACAAAATTTATATCATAACATTATATCAATAACATGAAGGAAGGAGGTTCAAAAATAGCTAGTCTTTCAGAGTCCAATTTGAAAGTCCATAAAATAACCTTATTTTTCACATATGGTGTGTGCTCCACATATGCTTTAGTGTATTTGAACTGCTCAAGGGACAGAGGAATTGAAGTACAAGTCCTCCTACAGTACAAGTACACAGTATGATCTGCTGTGATTATATATAAAATGTATGCTTGCATAATAAAATCTATTAGCTGTAATTTTCTCTTTCTTTCATTTTTGTTTAAACTTGTTTTTCTTTGTTATTTTTCTTTTTTTTCTTTAATTTTTATTCCTTTTGTTTTAAATTGATACTATAGATTCTTCAGTGTCTTTCTGGCACCTTCATTTCTGGAACTGTGGGCTAAAAGCCAATTACACTGGAGTTGCAGTTTCTGGATTCCACTGTTGCTATCAGCTTATTCATTCATCATGATCTTCTTTTGCAGTTTGGAAATACCAATACATTTATGTAATAATGTCAAATGACTATTGCCTGGCAATGTTTCTGTGATTCTTAAGGCATTCAAGTGGATGTTTAACATTGTTTATTGTCATGGGATTTTTGTCTGTTTTTGGTTATTTATCATTTTTTGTAGCCTTTCCAAGTGGCTTTGTAGGTAAGTTTCTTTATATTTTGCTCCTTTAATTTACATTTCCTCCTTGCACCAGGTTATAAATGTGCATATTCTAGAGTGATTACTTATGCCTGAGAGACATTTCTTTTTAAAACATGGGAAGCTGATTCAATTTGATTGAAAAAGTAGGGTTGAACTTAATTTTCCATTCTCAAATATATCTCCTATATGTTGCAAGAGACAATTTACTGTTATACAATTCAGATGCTACAAAAACATATCATTTATCTGTACTTTTTTTTATAGTGTGTGCTTTTCTTTTTGGGGCTCCCTCTTCTCTTAGTCTATTTCCTTCTATGAGCTTAGTTCAAGTTGCCCTAAGTCCCTGCCCATCACATTTCAAGTTTCTCCATTCCTCTCAGCTCTGCACTTGCAGATAGGTTTATGTCTGAAATAGTTTGTTGGAAATTCTGTGGATGGAGGGACCCACACTTGAATCAGAAAATTGGACAAATTTCACTGTATCTCCTCTCCCCAGATTTGTGGCAGTATATTTTTATTTTTAATAATTAAGCTTTATTAAATGCAGAAAAACGTTAAGTTGGGAAGTGGTAGAAAGAAAACAATCTTGGAATTGGATGAGTCTGCTGTGCCTTCATTGAAATGTATTAGTAAATGCTCCCTAATGCCTGTTTCAGATATACTAGAGGCTATAGAATACTTTACCCAAAATGCCAATAAACAGGCTTCATAATCCTGTCGTCAGTTTCTGTGAAATGAAGGCATTCCGTAGTATAAGAATTTGAGGAGCTGATCAGCCACTACTGAGATGTAAGATGAGCTAATAAGATGAGCTTCACTAGGATGATCAAAATAAAACCTTCTTCTCTCATTTTAAACTCAGCCAAGCTGTCTGTGTTGACAGTCACAGTTCTGATTGAGTCATGGAAGTTGAATATTCTAGGAGGATCTTCTGAAAATGGATTGCTACTCTTGTTTGTTAGTCAACAATTTTAAAATAAAATTGTCTTGCTCAGCTTTTGATGAAATCTTTTTGTCATAGTAACATAAATATTAAACCAAAATTACTTCAGTTATAAAACTGATGAATTACACTGATGTTGAGTGTTATTTCATTTAACCAAAGAACTTAAGATATAGGAAAGGTAGGAACTCTCTAGCCAGGATAGTTTTCAATTACCCTCTCTTGCTGGGAAACAAAATTTCAGGTTTTGAATAAAGATGTGTACTGATGTTTCTGCATGCAGAGAATGTCAATAAGTTTTAAAAAAATAAAAAAAAATATATTTGACCACAGTGAAGCCTAGCACTTATGTTCTTATTTCAAGAACATTTCTGTTAGACTGGGTCAGGAAAGAATTTTGATTGATTCTGTGGAAGCTGCTTTGTATTACTAATGATGGCTTTATAAGAATAGTTACTTTGCTAAAGATATACCAAAACAGTATGTACATTTAAGAACATTTTTTGGTTTACTGTATTAATTCATATTTTCTGTTCTAAGTAGCTTGTTTTTTAATATCCCAGCACGTATACTGTTGAACCAGTAACACAGAATGAAGATAATTCCCATCTAAAAGAGCTTAGGCTAAACAATACTGATTTTTCCATCTTATGTGCACTATTAAAAAAAACAACAGTATAGTATTTTTTGCTTATGTCTTCTAGACTCTAACCGGAGAGTTACACCACAGCGTACAAGAGCAGAGAACAAAAGTTAAACTGGCAAAAAAAATGGAAGAAATGAAAGCATGCAAAAAGGGTCTTTCCCAAGAGAGTCTTCAGTTGGCAGCATCTATCCTTAATGTTTAAACAACTGATCTTTACGAAATACTACAAGAAGGAGATGATGAGGTAAGTTATTTTAAGGACTTCAGTGAAAAAGGCATAGATGAGAAGATCCTGACTATATCCCTCCTTGAGGAAAAGGATTTGCAGGTAAAGATTGAAATTTCATTGTGCAAGACACAGCACAGAAATCAAGAAGGATTTAATCTGAATGAAAAGGTTAGGTTAGAGGCTCATAAGGTGGCAAGACTTATGGCACGTATAAATATAAACATACTGCTTTGAGCATGTTTATGTAGAGATGTTATTCAGTATTTTCCTTTCTTGTGAAACTATTTGGCAGGATTGTACATTTTAAATAGACTTCTGCATTGAAGAAAACGAAATTAGGATGTGCCTTTCTGCGCCAGATTGATTTTGTTGATACTTCCTTTCTGAATTGTTGCTATACAACAAATTGTGATACCTATTAAAGGTATTTCTGGTAGACAGATGGTTTCTGGGTGAATTCATTGCCTTTTTTTGTTGATTCTATCATACATTTTTCTATGAAATATTTGATAGTGTTTCATCAAATCACTCTATTAAATAGATGCAGTGATAGGATATCTTATCCAGATTTATTTAGTCCTGATCAAATAATAAATGAAAAAGCCTGTACAGTTACTTTAGCAAGTGTCTAGGAGCTGCCCATTATTGTAGCAGTACTCTGGTGATGACTTAGATTTAGCCTTATTGGAGCTTTATATTAAAGAGGTCACAAAAGGGGAGTCTTCCCGTTGGTTAAACAATAGCGCATAGTATGTGTATGCACTGATAGGGGATTACAGTCATGAATACAAATAAAATGGGCTGGTCCCTGCTCTGTTTACTAACATTTGTACAACCCTATAAAGTGATTCAATTTGACAGAGTTGTTCCATGCTTATCTCATTCTCAGAGTAATTTCTACATCCTGTATCATTTTGTTTTAGTCACTGTGAATATATGTGTAAAACACATAAACATAGTTAACTCTAATTATAAAACAAATTTATTAGACCGGAGATGAATTTACACTACACATACACTACATATTCCATCTATCAGTGCATAGACTCAGGTACCTTTATGTTGAACTCATACAATTTAGACATAGATCACACATACACCAGCGTATTCATATGAAAAGAACATGCTATGCACATTTCTAGAGGCATGCACAGACACAGGTAGGCTTAAAAATTTATTAGAGCACTGATACTTGGTGAGTATGTTTCAGATAACTAATTTTGCAAATGTGATTCTGACTTCCACATGCTGTATACTTAATGTACACTCAGTTACACATTTCCTTTATTGCTCCTGATGTTTTTCTATTTTTAGGAAACAGAAAAGACAAAAATGGAATTGGAAAAAGATAAAGAATGTCTATGGCATATACAGAAACTTCTTGAAGCACAGGTGCTCAATTTATATCATCCCACAATGAATTATAACTCTCTGTGCTGATTAGCTAAATTATTTTAGATTGTAATTGATACATTGTATTTTTAATTATGGTGCTGTTGGTCTCAAGCTATATTGTGATGAGCAATGTGAAAACCTTGTTTTGTAGCATTTCCTTTGTATTTCTCTTAAAATCAGAGTTACTGTATAGAACTGAAGAGGTGTTAATCAAAGATTTGTGATAGTTAAGAGCTAACTTAAGGCAACATAACCAGTAAAACAATGCTGGAGAAAACCAGCGCAAATCTTGGCAAATGTGTTAATTGAATTATTGAAACACTGTATAATGCTTGCTAGAGTGAAAATGATCTGTTCTCTCATACCTCTTAGGAAAAAGAGACTTTTTTTTATGTGCCTTTAAAGTTACTAGTTGTTATGGACACCTGAGGAGTTCATGGGTTTCTGTGACCTTTTACTGTGGACCTGTTTCCAGTCAATTCATGTTTTCCTCATAGCCAGACAGCTGTTTATTATCGTGTCTTCTCGCATTCTCTACAATATTTTCTACTGAGACCTCGAGCAGCTTGTTAGTGGGAAGTAAATATTGATTTGGCATCCTGTCAATGCAGAAAGAATGAAAAAATTTCCACCAGAGGCCCCTCAAACATTTTCCTATCGACATTTTCTGGGCAGAGAGGAAAGCTGCATAGAGGATGACAAGTCTGAGACTAGCAGAAATCCCTGAGGGGTCCATTGAGACTGCTGCTGTGACCTGTGTGATACTTTTTCTTCTCTTTCAAGTCTTTTTTTTTTAATACACAGAGAGTCTGCTGGGATGCTCCCCTCTTGTAAGTGATCAAGGGCAGTTTATTGGCAGGTGAGAGCCCAGCTTTTCTAGCCATAGTCAGCTTTTGTTTGGACATCACTGACAACATACACTGACTCTTAAAACTTTTCTGTTATATTTTTAGTTGTCTCTTTTATTTAAATGATGGGCAGCTGATATCTGGACAGAAATAAAACTTGATTTTTAAATACAGTGTTTCTAATGCATATTCACTAGCATGGGTTCATTGGTGATGTAGTTAATATCAGTTAATGTGAATGATTGAAAATATTTTGATTGTCATTTTATAGGAAAATTCACATCAGATTTATATATTTTACCATCAACAACCTTTGTATTGAGATTGTATTCTCTGACCAGATTTCTAAGAAATAACAGATTTTCTCTCTTCCATTATCAAAACTTACTACCATGAAGACTGCTTAATTGCTGCAGCAGAGGAGATAGAAATAGCAGTGTGCTTTTACTGGCGTTGTCAGAAAAACTAGCATTTTAATTAAACATCATAATGCTACATGAAACTCAGCATTAAAAGCACAATTATTTATATTCACTCAATTACCTTAATTTTAAGAGTTTTTTTAAAAAATGTATAATGTTCATACTATGAACTCCAAAATATGAACCAGATTAATGGAATATACTGAACACTTCTCGTTCTGTTTTTCTGTTATTTGGTAAATCGCTAAAAAACTAAGCAGAATTTTAACTAGGGGAGGGACAGTGAAGGAACTGTTGAATGAAACTAGGTATATTAAGATTGCAAATGTTATGTAAGGATAGAAGAGCTCATTGCTTTTAGCCATATACATTTGTGTAAAAGTTAATAGTGATTTTCTGTGATTTTTGCTCCATCTTGTGGGGCTCCTCAGAAGAAACACTGAGGGTAGAAGTAATTTTTGGCAAGCAGACCATTTTTAGAATTGCAAGAGGATTATAGTGGTTTTGGGGAGCAGCCAGCTCTGCTTTTCATTTCTGTCCATGCTAAGGCACATAGATGGAAAGAATTAAGATTTCTTCATCTGTATTTGAGAGCAGCTCATGGAACAGCTCTGTGTCATTGCTTTACTCATATCTTGCAGAGTTTGGTTGTGGTTTCTTTTAGTAAGCTTTTCTGATCAGCAAACTAAAGCCCACAGTGAAATGTAAGCTTTCTGCAGGGTTTTGCTCACAACTGACTGTCTGCTACGAGTTACATGTTGGCAAACTGTGTTATCCATTTGCATCTTGAACAAAGATGCAGGATTGCCCTTTACTGTTATTCTGAGTAAACGTTCAGTGGAAAATTGCATCAGATCACTTAATACTGCAGTTTGATATAGTGTCTTTTTGTGCCATTGAGCCAGGACTTTGGAACGTAATTGCCCAGCAGTATTGATTTAATTGCCTGGGTTTATTTGTGGACTCCTAATTATTGACTGGAGGTAAATTTAATGGAGAAACCTTTATGAACACTGGGAAGCTGCTGCTATTGCTGTTATACATAATGAACTGCATCATATCCCTTTAGATCATTCTTCAAGCTAATTTTATTCTACTGTGACAGTACGATAACATTTAAAATGTCATAGACATTTTATTTTTATTACTGACATACGCCATTTTACTGCTGCACTAGAATTTTGGGGGGGACTGAGAGAAGCACTAGTTGCTTTTTACTGTCATTTTATAAATTCCCCTAAAGTGTAATGATAAAGGATACCACAACTCTGTTTTCACTTCATCTGTACCTTTATTTTGCATACTCTTATGACTTGGAAAAGTCTCATATCTGTCAGCTTTACAAGAATATTAATATTTTAGTGATATATTGAATGTAATGAATACTCTCACATTCAGGAAACTGTGCACAGAGTTTGTGTCAGAGTTTGTGTCCTTGTTTTATCAACTACTAAGTCAAGAAACTAGACCACTACTAAGAGCCTTATGATTTTAATAATAACATCTGCATAGTGATGTTATTATGTAAACAAGAATCGTATAATAGGAAAGTATAGTCATTATAAACTCAGCAGAGCTGGCAAAAATCACTTTTTGTCTAAATATACATCTTGAATGGCCAAGAAGTGGGTTTTTTTCTGTTGTCTCTGTATTTATACTGTATTCATTCTAACATACATGTAACATTCTGTAACATTCATATTCTTATTATGGAATAAAAGAATAAAAATAAATTGTCTCAATAACTGGCACTGGGATAAAAGGAAAAGGTTCTCTGGCCTGTGAAGGACCTCTATGTGGAGAGTTTTCACATGATATCTGCTACCTGCATATGTGTAGAGGCATCAGACTAATTACACACTACTGTTTGGGCTTGGGACAAGTCTCACATTATAGATGTTTGAGCTTTTAGTGCTTTATATTATTTAGGGGAGAATAAGTATGATTATCTCAACATGTATGTGTGTTTACATCTTGCAAGGCAAGTGATGAGGCTTTTACTTTATCCCTCACATCTGAGTGTGTATGTCTTATAAATTGAGCCTGGCTCTTTATAGTAATACTCTCTTCTTATAATCATAAACACTCTCCCTAAAGGCTCACACAAAACAGCAATCTTTTCTATCTTTTTCATGTCATAGGAAACTTATGGCTAAGCCAAGACAATGACTTCTTCTCATTTAACTTAAACATGATTTCTTATACTACCCTTGGCTTTCATTTACTGTGACTTGTTGTAAGGAACACCATCTGAGAAAAATCTATTAATAATTTTGTGTGTGAGTACAGCATGGTAGCCCAATCCAGATTACTGCCTGAAGTCTCCAAGAATTACTCTTTAATGAAATGCAAATCATCTGCCTAAGTTTTCCAAGCACTGAAGCAGATGACAGCATTGATTTAGCATGTCCCTTTGAGATCTACAGCAGCACTTGCTGTACTTCCTCCCTCATGCACTCCTTGGGATATGACATCTCACACTAAGAAAGCTGCCTAATAAAATCTTCTCTCATGTGACTTCATTATGGATCTAAAAGCCATATTCCAATAGTGAAAACCTCTAGAAAGGCTCCTTTCCCTCTATTTTATGAGCACTCTTTGTGTAACACATCTCTAGAATAGGGTTTAGAACAGTATATTCACTAATCATCAGTTTGGATTTTCCCCAACTCCTTTTTAGGATTTTCACTGGCTTCTAAATGCATACTGTCACCTGGGAATGGACATTAATGACCATAGCTGTTTCCTTCCAAATTTCTTGGCTTGTAACTTGACTGCTTTGCTTTCATTAAGTTCTCCAGTCTGAGTGTGTCTTTGAACTGCTCACACCCAGAAATGTGTATTCACCCACACACAAACACCTGGGCACAATCACCACTGCCACCATCACCAGGTGTTTCAAGTACCTGCACCTTAAAAAGTAGTACCAGCACTGTCTGAGCTACACTCTGGGTACCATTAGCCCTGATACCAGGTCCTGATTTTCTTTTCATTATAAGAGGTTACACTGACACTGTGTACAGTGGTTCCTGTACACTGACAATTCATTATGGTATAAATCTATGTTTTATCTCATGCACACAAACAAAACTACATTATATCACTCATCCTGAACTGAAAACAAGATGAAATTGGCTTGGTCACTAAAGATAAAAATACAGATAGGCACACATGTATTTATATAATGATGTATATGTAGCCACCATGAAGCAAAATAAGAACAAAGAATAAGATAAAAACCAACAATAAAATGTTTTCTTTGTTAATTTTGACTTTTATTTTTTAGTGAAATTAGGATGTTTTAGGTATTGGTCTTAGTGCCTAGTTTTATTTCATACTATTTTTTGTGGTGCACTTAATTCAATCTAAGGCAGCTCTGCAGTGTGTTTGAATAGTTTCTTGTTGGGAAAATGTATACTGATGATCCATATGGGGAGGTGTGAAATAGTTGTAGCCACTAATTTACCTAAATACTTTTATTTTTATGCAAACACATTTTAGAGTTTGTGAAGCAGAAGCTGGAGTAATGCTACACTCTGCAAATGGAGATGCTGCGTCTCATTAGAAAAGAAACATTGGCTTGCATTCATTATAAGACTTTTCCCTGGCAGATCGGTATATATTTATGCACTTGTGCTGACAGAGACTCAGACACGTGTTTAAGGTCAATAAATATTACTAGTTTGGTTTTTTTTACAGAAGAGATCTCAAAAAGAAGCTAACTTGGAGTCAGAATAAATAGGTGAGAGAAGGAGAATTAACTGTCACTATTTCTGACTCTTTAGGATCAGATTACCTTAAGTACACCAAGATATCTGTCTGATAAGTTATGTAAGAAATATGCCTTTCATTCATACAGCTTCCTACTGTCAAAGAAGAAATTTGTAATTCTGGGAAGTCAAATAAATAAAATTATTTTAATCCAGATGTAGTTTGCACATTCAGATGTTGTGAAATCATACAGATCAATTAAATACTACTTCTGTTAAAGCCTACCATAGTGTACTGATTTAGCATTGCCACAATTAACGTTAAGTGGGTTGCGGCACAGATATTGGTAAAAAAATCTGAAAGAAGTATCATTCTGTATTAAAATATCTAATTATCTAATTAAATATCTAATAGTGGGGAAAACAAGCTTTCACTCTTTAGGTGTGCACTTGGCACTCACTGAACTTCCAGAGCCTTCCCCAAGCAAATGGCACCTTTTGAAGCTGGGATGAATGCTTTAGAGTAGAGATGGCTTCAGTGGTTGTGAAATTCTGGAGAGAAATGTAAAGGGACGTTTCCCAGGATAGTTGCAGAGCCATCATTAAAAGTAAATCTGATAAGCTTCTATTAAAAATTAAGACTATAGAGATCATCCATTTCTGGGTGTGTGTATGGAAAGAGAACCAGAGAGAAACATGCAGCACTGTCTTTGAAACCAACAAATGTTGAAAGAATGACATAATGTTCCACTTTCAAATGCTCTTGATTTAAATGAATCACTTAAATGGCAAGAGTTCTTGAAAGATCACTTTGCTATGACATGGAAGCCACAGAGAGTAGTGAGCAGCAACTAAAATGTAGTTAGAATGATATGAGCCAGAGACATCAATAAGAAGCCATTCATCTCAGGCACAGCATTAAGGAGGTGAAATGTATCAGAAATGGATGAAGTCAAGCTAGGCAAGAAGAATTAGAGACTTTGAGGTAATGATACAGTGTTCTTATAAAAAACATACTTAGAAAAAGAGAGGAATTAGAGTGAACAGGATACTAGAGTCAGTGTTTTTAAAGCATAGTAGCAACTGAAAGTCACAGAATTTCAGATAAGATTATGTCTTATATTATAGAATAGATTTGTGCTCAGTGAATTTGAGCCCTCTATTCCCCAAAAAAGTCATCACAATAGCACACAGGAGAAAGCTGACAGGTGTAGAGGTCTACTAGAAATTTCTTACCACACATGTACATTAATTATGACAGACGGAGACATGTCTGGCCAGCAAGAACCAGCCCTTGAAAACCCCCTTTCCTGCAGGGGAAAAGGGAAAAAGGAAATAATACATATTGTTGTCCTTTTTCTCTAACTACAAAGTGACTGTTGAGCAGCACGTAGGATTGCCGTTGTATCTCTTCACAATACATGCCTTCTATTAACAAGATTTTCCTTTTGTAGATATTTTTATGACATGTTAGCAATTATAAATATCAGTATATAGATTCATGTCTGTATATCAGTCCAAATGTTACATTTTGCATTTAATGTGCTTTTATGTCTGGGGTTTTTATTTGTTTCTGTTATATTTTTTGTTTCACATCAATGTCAGAAACAAGCACTACTCTGTCTGGTGAAAAGACATTTTCTCTTTCAGATGGAACAGAGGAGTGAAAAAATGAAACTAGAGCAGCAATACCGAAGTGTGGAACTAGACAGGAGTTCTAGATTGAAAAGTGTTGCTTTGAACTAAAGTTGTGAAACACAGAAAATTATGATTGGCCAGCAGCTTATTCCACCAGATTATATTTTATCTTATTTATTTCTGGTGGCTTTATAATGTAAAATTATCTCTCCTTCTGAATGCACTGTTAGTTTTGGTGTACTGACCCCTCAGGCACCACGGATCTCACCATGCAATAAGCTGACAGAGATCTCTGAAGCTGATAGAGACTTTTCAACAGTGAAGGAAAACTGTCCTGTTCTCCTCTGGCACACCACTGGCCACTCTGGATGAAGCTGCCAGGACAACTGTTCTGTACCACCTCTAAAAATACTTCCCAATAGTGCACAGATATACCAAGACTTTGAAAGAAAACCTCTGTAAGCATTAAAGTAATGACACTGATAAATATACCAAATCTAGTTTGAAAACATTGGTTGTGCAAATGCATCTTTTATATCAGAGAAGTTAAAAGAAGTTTTAATTTTTCTCTGTAGATATGTCAATACAATTTTTTGGTATCATGTTTTAGAAAAGCAGACATTTGTGTCACATTCCAATTAATGCAGTATAATGGAGGTTTGGGATTTTCCTTTGCTTTGGGAAGTTTCTTTGTGGTTTTGTTTGTTTTGTTTTGGGGTTTTGTTGTTCATTTTTTGGAGGGCTTTTTTGTTGTTTTGTTGTTGTTGTTTAATTATTTACAAGGTTTTGTGTGTGAGTCTAAGGCAATTTGCTACAGCATTGAGAATTATACTGGTAGTTCTGTCTCTTCCTCCTGAGAGTAGTGAACTTACACTCATACACTACCATTTCTGCATGCCCTAGAGGTGACTGTAACCTTTTATTGATCAGCTGATTGAAGATAAATGACAGAGATGCTGGTACTGCAGTTTACATCATTAACATGGTCAGTAAAGCATGAATTGTTCAATAAGGAGTTTATCTTTTTTCATTTTACACTGCTCTTTTATCATTTTTATGATAGAGAGCAAATTTTCAGACACTAACCAGGCAGATGAACTTTAAAGATTAGATATGTGTGTGTGGTAGTTGTCAGAAGTAAGTGAAATCTGATAGTTTAAAGATATTTAATAAATGTATTTCACATGAAGAAAATAAAGTTCAATGATCGTTTTTCTTACTCTCTTTTTTTCCAGTTTCCTTTTGCCTCATACTTAATGGATGAAGTACTGGAAAAATTAAATGAGAAGAAAAAATTGGTAGAAGAGTACAGTTCCCTCATGAAGCACATTGTATGATATTGCTAAAATTTATATTTGCAAAGTGTGACTACAGTGTGTGCAGTTTCCTCATGTCTTTCCTCTTCTCATAAAGAACTGTCAATATGCATGTTCAATACATACACAGAAACCATGAACTAATTAATTGTTGAACAAGAGGAATTAATTAAATTCCTATTAGAAAGCAATGTGGTATTTGATTCCTGAAAAGAAAAAATGCTCCAAATCAATGCAAAGCTCAAAATTATTTTCCTTTAAATGCAATGCCAGTGAACACACGTGCAGGTTTTGTAGAGAGATGTCTTTGTTATGACTAATACATATCTGTACAATTTTGAAAGAACATAAAGCAGTCAAGTAATGATTGTACTAATCAGAACAGTAGAAGTAGGATCTACAAAGGAACAATATCACTGGGATTTTAAATTCCCAATTTCTTTAGCTTCTTTGTAAAGTCCAACTTTATAATATATGCTACATAAAAAGAAATGGCTTTGTTAGAAAAAATGAATGATTGTAGAATAAAAATATTCTGTGTGGAGTAATACAGGAAAAGCTGTATTTCTTCTGAGCACACTAGAGCATAATTTGTGCAATATATTTAAAAGTTCAATAAAATTTTGTCTATTATGTTTTTTTTCACTAGTAGGTCCAGTTCTTTCTCAGCTAATAAGTAGCTGCAAGCTCTCACTTGCCTTGGGAAAGTAGTATAGAATTTTAGTCAGTTATTTCCACCAAGCTTTCTCTGGCAGTACTAGCAAGTAATTGCTGCTTCTTCACATTTTTAATCTTAGAGCTTGAATTCCTCTGGACCAACCCACTGACAAAAGAAAACAAGACAAAAGTTTCTGAGTTCATGTGTTAATAATGTTTAGGTCTCATATATGTCTCATTTATGGATATCTTTTACAACAAGCTCTTTTACAACAGATATCATTATCCATATTGGGTGGGGAATCAAAGACCTATTTGGACTAAGTTCACTCAAATGAAGCATGAAGCAGAGGTTTTCTGCATGTCAGACCAGTGATTTTCCTAGGATGTAATCATGTATCTTCTAATTTATGGAGTTCTCTATTTGATGTCTCTGACAAAAAGAAGGCATCTCTAAACTTCTGCTCAGTTGCACCTGGTGAACACAGGGGCTTGAGAGAATTTTTATTGGAATTAGAGAAAGCCATGCAAACATATTCCACTTGCACCTATAAATTAAGACTGGGAACTAGCCCTGCGTAAAAAACCTGCCACATCTTTAGGAATGGTTGACCACCATCTTTTTCAATGCAAGAAATAAGGGTCATCATGTGAAACTGTGTGGTGATATATTAAAAATAAGCAAAGGGATGCCACTCACATGCAAATGAAACTGAGTTGTTGGAAGTAGTTGCCTCAGGTTTTACAGAAGCTAAATACTTACCTGGATTCCAATGCCAATAAAATAATGACAACAAAAATTAAGGAAGATATATCTGTCAAGACGTGGATATCATGCTCTTAGGTTGTCCAGTAATTCCAGCAAGATGTATTTGAACATAATTTCAACAAAATCTCTATTGCAGCTTAGTGAACAGAGCTTTGAGAGGCCAAAGATCTCTAAAAATTTATCCCCATTATCTTCATTTCCACACTGCCAAACACCTGCTGGTGCAAGTCTGATCTTGGTGCTGGTCTTTAACACTTGATCTTTTGTCATGGTGAAAATTCAGGGAGCATCAGCTAATTGACATAGAAAATATGTCTCAAAAAGAGGGAATTTTCCAGACTACTATCTTTTTCTCATAACTTAAACATCTTATTTTACTGCCCCAGAAAATTTCTGTATCTCCTGGGCAACTGAGTATGAAAAGACATCTTTTCTAGGTGCAAGAGTAAACAAGAACACTGCATAACCAAATTATTATCTACTTCATCTGAGAGGGCAAATGGAAATCCTTAAACACAAGTGGATACAGATTTATGCACAAATAGTCCTGAAAGTATAACACCACTGTCTTTCTGAAAACTTTGCTGGAAAGTTAGCAAAATATCTTTGAAGATCTTTCTTGTCTAAATGTATTTCAATGGTATTTTCATTCAAAAATTATTTTCTTCTCTAATTTGATACAAACAAACAAAAATTGAAATACCAGTCAACATTTTTCAGAGATTAAAAATGCATGTAGTTTGAGAGATATGAGGATAGTATGGGCAACAAAGAGGATGATACTCCAAAGAAAATAAATTTTTGCCTTTTGCTGACACAAATGTTGAGCTCTGTCTGTGATGAACATACTAGTTTTTACTACTAACTTCATCTCTCCTGCACCAACAGAGCAGAAGATGGTCTATGAAAAGTTCGTTATTACTGTAAAAAGATTAAAATTAATTATTTTGGTTATATTTTATGAATATTTGAAAAATCCCCTTACACTATAACCAAGCTCATTTCATTGAGTGAAGAACTGATTCTGATTTGGGGAACAGCATTAGTTCAACACTTTCAAGATGATATTGCTAACGAAGCTAAACATTAAATGTATTAAAAGCAGTGCTCTTTTGAACTACCAATGCCTACGGACATCCAGAAAATCCACTTAATCTGTTTTTCTTTTGTTAAGGTAGTTTTCTCTCCTGGTGCTGCCTGATAAGGCCTCTAGATGGCAAACTTTCCCAAGAAATGGGCTCAGAGCTTTGATCCCTGCAGCCCCTGAGATAGTGTCAGGCTGGGCTGTCCCTCCGGCAGCAGCAGCTGATGGCTGTGCATGTGAAATTAATGGGCTGTTTACAGTCATTACGTACAGTGACACAACGGTGATGCCCTGAAATACTTCAACTTTTATATTCATACAAAAATTTATGCATATATATACAAACACGTGTGTGTGTGGGGGGGGGTGGGTGGGTTTATGCATGTGTTCATTAAATATGAAATACACAATGTTGTATGGTTCTTCAAAGTTGTTTAAATGTTTAGCCCTTTCAAAAGTCTTCATTATGCACTATCAGGTCCTCATGAGGATGTGAGAGACTGAAACATTAATGGTTAGTGTTTCAAACCATCAGGTGTTTGGCTGTTGATGCTCAAGGAAACAACCCATGTGCAGGGGGTGTGAGCGCAAGAGGGTGACCATGACAAATCAACCTTTGCTTAGCAAGAAGCTAGGGTTTCAGCTAGATAAGGGAAGAGGCTGATAAGCAGATCCTGTGAGATGGGATAATGCTTTTAATTCTAGAAGTGTCATTCCTTACATAACTGTCTCAGTTGTAAAACTCCTCTCCCCCTCCCACCAGGAAAAGCTACTGGGACATTCATATTATTCATACCTTCTGATGGAGTGTAATTGGCTCTATTATGCTGATGTGAGAGAAGGTGTCATAAACCACCAAAGACCCCCAAAACACGCCCAGAGTCTTTTCTGGGGCCTTCCACCAGAGGAATGGGCATGTTCCACAGTTTTACAGCGTGATTCACAGTGTTGCATCAGACAGTGTAAAAGTCTGCACCCCAGGGAGAGCACCTGGGTGCTGTACCTGAACTTGAGTGTATATTATATATATATATATTATTATATTATATATATATTAATTATATATATATATATAATTATATATATATATATAATATATATATATATTATATATATATAACCTGTTGAACTTTGTTATGGTCTTTGTTATCATGGTCTTCCCCAGATCAGTAAAGACTGTGACCATCACTTCAACCAATAGACATCAAAATTGCAACAATGAAGAATCAGTGAAGTATCACCAACACACAATTGGTGGTGTTTTTCTACCACTATCATTTCTTCTTACTTTTTCTCAAGGTATATTGTAAACCAGACTGAAAAATTCCAGTCAATGCCTTAGTAAGTACCTTGTTGTGTCTGGATATGTTGAAGTTCAAGTTTGTGAAAAGCCTTACTTCCTTTGTTGGCGTCTTAAAATTTGCCACATTGCCCAGAGTGATTTTAACAACATCCCCCTAAACCTGCCGAGTGGATTGGGACATAACTGAGATCTGCAAAGATAAACTGAGGGCTGGAGCACCTTTCCTATAAAGAAAGACTAAGAGAGTTGGGGTGGTTCAATGTGGAGTAGAAGAGGCTCTGGGGAAACATTGGAACAGCCTTTCAGTGCCTAAAGGGGGACAACAAGAGGGCTGGAGAGAAAGGGTATGTTGTAGTAGTAGGACACGAGGGGATGGCTTTAAGCTGAAGGAGAATGTGTTTGGGTTCGATATTAGGAGGAAGCTCTTTACTGTGAGGATAGTGAGGCACTGGCACAGGTTGCCTAGGGAAGCCCCATCCCTGGAATTATTCTAGGTCAGGCTGGGTGGGGCTCTGAGCAACCTGTGGAAGGTGTCCCTGCCCATGGCAGGAGGTTGGAATCGTGATCTTTAAGGTCCCTTCCAACCCAAACCATCCTATGATTTTTTTACCCTAAAATGTAAAAAATTAAAGTCAAAGTACCTGGCAATAGTCACTTCCCACATTATGTTTCTGTAGTGCCATCTGTTTAACCCACATAAATCCTAATTTACATTGATTAGGAATAAAGATACAAATCTTCCTAATGATCTCTTATACCAATGGGATCCATTTTTTTCTATACTGAGGATTCTCTGTCAGAGAAGGCACTGTGTGTGTTTTCCCATGAGCCTCTGGACTTCCTCATTGGCTGAATGGGTTGCACTTTTCAAGGCTAGGTATTCTAAATGAGACTGAAATGTAAGTGTAAGACCTAATAGAAGGAGTCCAGGGAGAGAATCAAAATATCTCAAAGTATTCATGTAGCCATCATGTAACATCTCATTTTTGCATTCTTGAAAGGAAGAAATTTGTTTGAAGCATTATTTTTTCTCTGTCGTGTATCTGTTCTATAATCACACATTTAGAAATTAATTAATTTGTGTTGCTGACTATGTTAAGTTTGGTTTTTTTTTTTTCCTTCAGGATTGCAGAAAGGCTAATGGAGTCAGGAAGGCCTGAATTTTAATTCTGTCATACCTCCAGCTAGGTTAATTCTCTTTTCTGTTT